TTTTATATAATTTCTAATTTTCCCTAATATTCTTTTCAATTAAGTTTCAAACACCCTTACTGCAGCTATTTTAAAGTCTGTGTATGAGAACCTCAATATCTGAGTACTTGTATCTTTTGTTGTCCATATTTTTCTCTTCATTTTCAAAAAGTCCTTGTCTTTTTGTTTACCTGGTTATAATTTTACTAAATGTAGCACGCTGTGAAGAAAAAAATGAAGAGATAATTTGAGATTCATGATGATGTTACCTTCTTTCAGAGAGAATTTGCTTTTGCTTCTGGCAGTCAGGGTAGAAACAGATCACCTAAACCCAATCAGAGTTTGAACTGATTCAGTCTTTGTGAGGACTAGTCCATTTCTGGCTTACCAGTATTCCTACAGTGTAGGAGCACAAATGAAACCCAGGGATGTTTACTAGGGTTCTCTCTAATCTTATTGAGTCTTGAACTCCAATTTCCCTGTCTCTGTATCTGTGATACTGCCCAAACCTCTGCTCAGCTTTTGAGACTTTTCTGCCTCTTCTTTCAAATCAGCAAAAAGAAAAATAGCTGTAATGTGAAGATCACCTTCTTGAGCTTCTGTTCTTTCTGTAATTTTGACTCTTCTAGATCCCTCTGTCTTTGATACCTTCAGATTTAAAAAGATATTCTCTCTAACTTTTCTTGCTCTTAGCAAGTTTGGTCTGAAACAAACTAATCCACCATTGCTGGAAGCAGAAATTATGCTGAATAAATTAAAATAAAATCTTATCATTTCATCCATGCATACTTCAATTGCTGACTCTGAAAAATGTGTATATTTTTCTTATTTACCCACAGTGCCATTTCATGTTCAGATTTCCTAGATTATCCCAGAAATGTCTTTGCATAGTTGTTTTATTTAAATTAAGATGCACAAGGCCTACACATTACATTTGGTTGTTGTACCTCTTAGGTCCCTTTTAGTCTAGACTGTTCTCTTCCCCTGCCTCCTTTTTCTTTTTATGCCACTAACCTGATGAAGATCCTGGGTAAAGGCCCTGTAGAATTTCCTGTATCTCATATTTAGCTAATTGTGTTTATTCCTCTAGCACTTGTATTTCCTATGAAATGGGTTTTAACTTTATGCGCTTGATTAAGTTAAGTTTCTTCCCTTTTTTGGGGCAAGGATGCTTTATGAGTAGTGCAAAATAATGCCTATCGCATCATATCAGGGAGCATGCAATGGCTGGCTGTTCCACTGTAGTGGTGCTGAGATTGCTCAGTGGGTTCAGGTGGTAGCAATCTAATTCATCCATTGTAAGACTCTCCATCATTCTTTGATCTACAGGTTTCATGTAGTAATGCTTTTTTTATGGATCAGTTATTTCTTCAGGAGTTGCAAAGTGATAATCTTTCTAATTACATTGCCATTTCACATTTATCAGCTAAAATCCATATACTAAAACTCTTTGGTCACTCTGAAATACAGTTTATATAGACAAGCTAAGCTCTCCTCTTAAATTCAGTAATGTATTTTACATCAGTTCTAAAAAAAAAGTCCTGAACAATAAATGGATATCACTGCCCTGTAAATGCCCACACTGCTACCCGTAATGAAGCAATGTGTTTGGTAATTGCATCATGTAGAAAAGCTTCATCAAGGCCAACAGTGACAGTCCTGCCATTAGGTATTTTCTTCTTTCCGTCCTGTTAACTTGAGACACTCCAGTTCCCTGGCTCACAGCCTCTTTGTGAAGCGTGGCTGCAAGATCTAGGTGCTCATGGGTCTGAGCTTAAAGCTCGGATATGTGCTGCTGCTTTTTCCTGCTTGTTTGAACACCTTCCTGTGCACGTATTCACTGTAGAAACACCAAAGGCGGTTTTCCATTCCAGGCCCGGTTCTGGAGCATGTGACCTCTGACTGCGCACCTAAGAGAGGAAAACGTGTAGCACCCAAACGTGTAGCACCCAAACAAGAGGGAGGCTTTGTCTGATGAGTTCATTGTCACATGGTCAGCTTGTATTTTTTGTGTTGGACCCCAGCAGTCTGCAGGTCCTGTTGGATCAGCTGTGTTAACATTTTTTGCAACAGGTTCTTCTTTTCTGTTTTCATTGCCACCATCCTGCCTTGAATCTGTTTGTCTCTCGGGTCTCTTTTCCAGTTTTTTATTCTTTCTGTTATGTGAAGACACTCTCAGCCCCTGTGGGAGCACCCAGCTGCCTAGAAGCAGAACTCCAAGCTTCCTAGCTTTGCATTTATTAATTTGGTCTGAAACAAACAAGTCTGCCATCGCTCGCCAGGTGTCTGCACAGCCCGGCCTCCAGCACACCTCGGGTCCACGTCCCCCTCTGCCACCCAAACCAGTGCACTCACTGGCCCTTGGTATTCAGCCTCCTGTACTGTTGCCACAGCTACCCTTCCCTTCCTGTGCCCCACACACTTGTCGAGGAGCCCGTTACCTCTTCTAGGCTGAACCACACAAGCTCTGCCACTCACAGAAACCTCCCCTGGCCACCGCGGTCCCCACAGCTTCTGGAGCACGGGCCACCATCTGGCGGCTGTCAGTCCTCTCGGCATCATGATTTAATTCACCTCATTTCTGCAGGGACTACAGTAACCAAGAGCAGGGACCTAGCGGACATCCCCATGCAGTGGGCCTGGAACCCAGCATCTGGAGGTGCCCCTCTCCTTCCCCCCTCACCCGGCTGCCATGTCAGGCTTGCAGACCCACCCTGAGCTTGCAGACCCACCCTGAGCTCTGACAGTTATGTCATCGAAGACCCCACTCCGGCCCTCCTGTCCCTCATGGCTGTCATACGGAGGACAGCTGGTGAAAGCCTGCCCTCGGTGGAGAACTTCTCCCAGAAGGGGTGAGCTTCCCCCATCTGTGAGGCCTGTCCAGCAAGTTGTGGTCAGTGTTAGCACATGTCAGCTGGGGACCCCAGAACAGTCCAGGCATGGTCCGTGTTCCGCCGGAGCCAAGAGGCGGAAGCCACCTGCACACGCTGCCTCTTCATCCTCTCTACTTAACTCCACAGGTACTGAGGCGGGTACCTGTCATGGCATGATTATGCACCACTTCCTCTGCCATCATAGAAGATTTTCATTCCTTCTAACTGACATGACAGACATCCACTTAGTGGAATGACTATTAGTATAAAATTACTTTTTGACCTTTAAATTTAATTATGTCACATTCATGGCAATAAAATAAAATCCCAAATTCAGGTGTGCTTTTCAAGGAGAGCATCCAGGGCAGTTACCTCCTGACAATGGCGCCTGCACTCAAGCCTCTTGTCTGAGGACTTCATTCCTAAGCCTAGTAGGTAACAATGCTCATTTTGTAAGGGGTGGGAGGTGCAGGGACTGGTCTCCAGGCACAATGGGGAGATGAAGGACACTGCTGGGCTCGGGCGTCTCCTTTGTTAACCCGCCCCTCCCTCTTCAGGTCTTGAGAAGAAGCAAGGCCAACCTTCTCTGGATTAAATACCTCTCTCTCAGGGTCTGTATCCCCCTTTTTAAGAGCATGAAGGAGAAAAGTTCCTACAGCACATTTCATGTGGGGAAGAGTTGAGGAGAGGCAGAGGAATGGTTTGCAGGTATGAGAACACTTGTCAGAGAACATATGTGTCTCTCCTGGTAAATCCACATCATCTCTGCGACACAGCAGGCCCACAGGGGGATGCCATGAGTTCCTCAAGGAAGAGCGGGTGGAACAGGGCTTGGCACGTGGCAAGCCCTGTACACGCCGTGACTCAGCATTGCCTTATTGACACCATCAGGTAGGCACCCGTGGTCTCTGGATAAGCAGCATGGGAACTGTGCTCATGGCTGGGGCGCGCTGCCCTTCTCCCCACCCAGCCAGGCTTTCCCAGACCCTTGGAGCCCATTTAAGTCCTGTTTGCCTCCTCCAGGAAACCTTCCCTGCCCATCCAGTCATCAGTGCCCCTCTCTCTTCCTAGCTCCTGTGTCATTTTCTCAGCTCAACTCAACAAGCTCAACCTGAGCATTATAGTGTGAGAGTTGGGCCCCAGTTGGGCACTAAATCATGTCTATGCTGTAATATTTTTTAATGTTGTATGAATGTCTGTCTTATGACCAGTGGAATAGCTGGGCCTTTAGGAAAAGTGTGATGTGCGCATGTATGTATATGTATATGAGTGTGTTTATATGTGTGCATATGTATTAAGTATATCTGTAAGTACATGCACACATACACATGAGTGCTGTACCCCAGCCCCAGGAACAATCCTGCCCGAGCCCAGTAGACTTGAAGAACAGAGGAAGGGGGCAGAAGAAGCCAAACTATACCTTTTGTTGAACCTGATGTAATAAATTCTTGTTAAATCAAGTTGAGGTAATATCAGTTCTGAAATGTAGCCCTAAATGTTCATTCTTTGGTCCACTATAGCACCCTCTATGATTCTGTCCTGCAGAAAAGAGGTCCTGGGTTCCTCCCACTGGCGAGCCATCATGGCAAACAGACAGGGTGGCTGAATTAAAATCTCTATAATACACAAGATAATAAAATAGGCACAAGGGCCTGTGAGAACGGTGGAGCGTGCTGAACCTGCAATTGAGAATCAAAGGCTTTGCAATGCAGAGAGGGACATGTTGGCATCCAGATGGGGAGACACGAAAGCTTTCATTGTTCACTTAACGAAGTATATTGAGAGGCCGCCTCCTGTTCTGAGGCCATCCCTGGTGCTGGAGCTTCAGAGGAGAGGGTGGAGGAAAAGCCTTGCACCTGCTCCCCTAGCCCACGCCCAGGTGTCAGTGCCAACGTACAGACTGGCAGCTCTTCCCCCAGATTATTACAGAGGCATTCCAGCCCTCTCACATTTCCTGAGGAAAAGGCGTCAGGGGAGCTGGCCACGACACTGTGCTGACCCAGGCTGCCGTCTCCCAGCCGTGAAGCCCACCTCCTCTCAGTAGCTCACTGACATTCCCACCCAGCCTTCACCCCCACTTGCAGCCTCCTGATGAAATGCTGATGCAAAGGCCACAGCTCTGACGATTTGCCATTTGGTCTCTTCCAGGATGTTTTTCCCAGGCAGCCATCCTGTCAGAGGTGTGCAGGTAATGAAGATTGGCAAACTGCAGTTACATCAAGGCATGTTCCCCCAGGCGATGAAGAACCTGAGGCTGGTGAGTGTGCCAAGATCTCAGGCAGTCCTGCGGCATGCCTTTTTCTGGCTGTTACCAGGCCTCTTCCTTGTGGTTTCAGCCACTCTGCATGCATACGCACGCACACACGTGCCCATAAATGTGTAGCAACCAGTTCTGGAAAAAAACATGATTTGTGATGTCTACTGATTTCTGTGGCATAAACCTGTCCACCATGGCTGATTTTAAACTACCAATGTAAAATCAACCAGCTCACAAAAATCATGGAAATTTAACAGCTGACTCTCACTGACTGATACAAACTGGCCTCATGACACCACTACAACTGTTCCCTCCCCCGTGTCACCAGGCACCCTTCTCTGTGCCCTACTGCCAGCTGCCCATGGGGCGAGGCTGTGCCCCCTACATGCTGGCTGGCCTGGCTATCTGTCCTCAGCCCATCTTTGCAGCCTCTGCCACCACCCCCACAGCGAGGGTCCACGGAGCTGAGGGTCCACTCAGCATCGCCCAGTACACCCTGAATCTGCTCACCCATAGATCTTCCCAAGCTATGTCTGCTGCCTCAAATGCCCTCCCCACCCCACCCCCGGGCCTACAGACTACTGATCCTCGAAGACCCAGCTTAAGTATGTTTGCCCTGCTCTCCTCTGCCTCTTGGCTCACTGCACCAGCAGAGCAGTAATCACGTGGCAGTAGGAGTACCCAACGCCCACTCCCCCGGGGGCCTGTGAGGTATTTGTGGCACCATGCAAGGCACCTGGAACTTGGGAAGTGTTCATTGTTGGAGGGAATGGGAAGGAAGGGAGGTCAAAACAGTGCCAGCAACACGTGCCAGGAAGCTAAGTGGAAAAACGTTACTAAAGAGTGATGTTTGCTTTTGCCCTCTCCATGGGTGTCTTCTGCCCCTAGACACCTAGGGCTCTCTTCTGTCCTTGCCCTCCTGCCCAGGCAGAGCCCCCATCACCCAAATCATGGCTTCCCACAGCAGTCCCCATGTGCTCACCTAGTCCAGGCGTCAGCAGATCGTGCAGAGACCTGTGGGAGGTGTTTCACAGGGAGCACCTGACTTTTTGACAGGGTCACCTGGGCCACAGTGCCCAGGTCTGCTGAAGAGCTACACTGGAGAGATCCAGGCTCTGTGTCAGGAACTCTCCGGGAGACCCCAGAGCTGGCTGGGCCCCTAACATACCCACATTTAGATGAGAAAAATAACCAGTGCCCAAGGCATCCTGAGAAATGACATTCCCTAATGCCAGTCATGGTGGGACACTAGCTGTGTCGACTTTCCCTGACCTCTAATTGAAACAAGCCCACGATCCGCAGGAATAGTGCCTGGTCCCTGGAGGCACACAGCCCCTCCTGTCTTTGCTCCTTGTCTGGCATCTATACCCAGACTGGCAGAGGGGACCTTGCAGTCTCTTGCTGTCTCAGGAAAAACTCCCCCTTTCTGGACTGACTAAAGTTTGTCAGCCAGTCAGATCAGTTAGGCAGAGAATACTGAGGATGTACTGTGTGAAAGCTTTGCCAGAAGAACGTGGAGGAAATTTCCCAACTATATGATGTACCCAATCCAGGGTCACCCACAAGGAGGTGTTTTACAAGTGATCCAATTAGCCCTTTGTGTTCATATGGGACTAAAGAGTATTAATACTGCTCTTGCATACCTGATCTGATCTGGTCCTCACGAGAGAGGACAGCCATTTGAGGGTGGCGGGCCCTGCATTTTCGTTCCCATTTGAAAACTGCAGGAGCCAAAGCTGGGAGACAGTGGAGCCTGTGTGACATCACACTGAGGCAGAGCCAGGTCCGTCTGTTCAGTCTGATTCAACACATGTTGATTAAATGCTGCCGTTGGTCTGGATATGGCCCAGTGTCATCCTTACAATTTAGTGGAGCAGACAGATATGTGAATGTGTCATTTAATCCAGCCCGGAATCCAGGGCTCTATTGTTCCTCTAGTCTAGCCTGGTGAGATAGACAAGACTTTCCAATAAGACTCCATGTGCAGAAGTCCCTTCTGATCCCCTGAGCTCCTGATGCCAGCTCAGAGGAGAATGTGGGAGAGAAAGCAGAGGTGAGCTGGGTCGGTTAGGTACAGCCTAAAAGTCACCTAATAACACAACGAGACAGCATTATGAATTCCATCACTCAGGAAATTCCAAGGGTTTCTGTACCAGAAATGGGGATGAAGACCAAATACATAGTTCTTATTACAAGTCACAGCGTCACAGGGGGGTGGCCTGGACACTGCCCTCTTTGCAAGCTCCTAGGGCTTGGGAGTCAGAAGTGGGTCTGTTTCGTTCTGCAGAGGGAGGGCCTCCCTTCCTGAGCTTTGTCAGGGCTCAGGTAGCCCAGAGGAGGGGAAAGGAAGGTGTCTTCTCTGCCTTTTGAAACTGATGTCCTCTTTAGACTGGCACCCCTAGATATTCTTTCTTAGAAGCTCTGGAAATAATAGGATGAAAGAACTTGAATAAGGGTTTTGAAGGCTGAGTTTGGAACAGAAATGAGAAAAGCTTCAGAAACAGAAATTTGTTACAGATTCAATTAGGCCCAGCCTTCCCCAGGAAAGGAATCCACTTAGCCCAGCTCTGATTTGGTTTCTGCTCCTGTCTCCACAGGGCTCAGCTGAAATTCTCATGACTGCTGCCACAAGACAGTCCTGGGGTTCCTTCACAGTGTGCTCGCCTGCTTCCCCCTCTTGCTAATCTGTTTTCATTTCTTTCCACTTATTTCTTGGAAGAATTTTGTTAGCCATTCATTTGACATCTTGGACCTCAAAGGCAACGTCCTCAGCTGGGCGGTCTTGTCAGTGAGCCCGTTTCTTTCCTGTGAGCTCTGCACGCTGAGGGCTCCCTCACCAGGGCTGGACCAGCTGCTTTGTTAGTAGTGGTTTCTTAGCTGAAGTCAGTTGGAAAAAAGCAGACTTCTTCCCCCTCAATTACCATTTTTATTTAGATGTAAATTTCTTAAATTTCACTTTAATGTTTTTTTTTCCCATTCTGTTTCATTCTGCTGAAGCATTTTACATTTTGAAGATCCATCTAGCTTTCTCTGAACAGGAAGTGCAGGTCACAAGTCCTGTGTATGGCTCCTCTCACTCGCTCAGTTATTAGCTATCCCAGCACATCCGGGGAAAGCCTAAAGCACAGCCATGCTTGTCTCTGTATACTCCAGCCCATGCCCTGATTTCAAGCCCCCCAAAGTGACTAAGGGCATGCAATTGTATTGTTCCCATTTCTTAATGTGCTACAGTGATTCTTAACCTCTTTGGTCAAGTTCTTATTTAAGAATCTGTTGAGAACCAGTAACTCGGCAGAAAAAAATGCACATACACACAACACTTCCTATATTTGGTGCAGAAGGGGTCTTAAAGGACCACCTGAAGCATCTCCATGGATTCACTAAGTGCCTGTAGCCTGCAGGTTAAAAAGCTCTCTTCTAAATGTGTAATATCGCACTTACATGTGGTCAGATGAGAAGGAGAGCGGGAGGACAAGAGGACATACAAAGGTGATATGCCATAATCATCAGTACTGCTTTCAAAGAGTGGGTTTGCAAGTCTCTGGCTCTGTTATTTATGAGTGAACCCTGCTGACCTCCAAATAGAGAATATTAGTTTCAAGAATATGTTTCTGAACAAAAAAAGGAGATGATAAGTGAGAGAATGGATTGTAAAATGAAAGCATAGTGATTAAAGATGGAAACAGGCAGAAATTTACCTACCAGAAAGTGTAAGTCCAGTGGGAGCCAAGTGGGAACCTGGACTTATACCTCCTCCACCTGGAAATAACAATGTGTCATTACACCCATCCTCCTGCTGGGACAATGTCAGAGAAAGCCAGCTAAAACAGAAGATTTAAATAAAATTCAGAATCTCAGCAGAATACCGAAGGTATCTAGATTTCAACTGAGTACCACTCATCATACCAAGGGAATTGCAATCTTAATGAAAAAAGACAATCAATAGATACCAAGTCCAAGATAATAGAAATGTTAGAATCACCTGACAAAGATTTTAAAGCAGCCATCATAAAAATTTTTCAATTAGCAATTATGAAAATCCTCAAAATAACTGAAAAAATAGAAGGTCTCAGCAAAGAAATAGAAAATATAAAGATGAAGCAAATAGAAATTTAAGAACTGGTAAATGCAGTTACCAAAATAAACAGACTAGAGCTTAACAACAGAATGGAAAGGACAGGGGAATGACATAGTGAACTTGTAGAACAATAGAAGCTACCAATCTGAAAATAAACTGACTGAAAAAAAGTAAAATTGAACAGAGCCTGAGGGACCTGAGAGACCAATAGCAAATATGTAACACTGGAGTCCCAGAAGGAGAAAAGAAGGAAGGTGGGAGGAAAAAGCACTTGAAGAAATAATGGTGGGGGCATCCAAATTGGAAAGAAAAAAGTAAAACTATGTGTGGCTACAGATTATATGATCTTACATATAGAAACCCCTAAAGATTCCACCCCAAAAAAACTGTTAAAACTAATAAATCCAGCAAAGTAGCAGGATATAAAATCAATGTGCAAAAATGAATTGCATTACATACACTGATAGTGAACAATCCAAAAAGGAAATTAAAAAACAATTTCATTTACAATAGCATCTAACAGAATGAAATACTTAGGAAATAATTTAACCAAGAAGGTGAAAGACTTACACACTGAAAACTAAGACATTGCTGAAAAAAAATTAAAGAAGACGTAAATAAACAGAATAACATCCCCTGTTCACAACTGCAAAATTTAATATTGTTAAAATGTCAATGCTATCCAAAGCAATCTACAGATCAACTGCAATCTCTAGCAAATTCCCAATGATTTTTTTCCAGAAATAGGAGAATCCATCCCAAAATTCTTATGAAACCTCATGGAACACCAATAGTCAAAACAGTCTTGAGAAGGAAGAAAGTTGGAAGATTCACACTTCCTGATTTCAGAATTTACTGTAAAGCTACTGTAATCAAAACAGTGTGGCACTGCCATAAAGACAGACATATAGATCAAAGGAAT